ACATATTTATAAGCATGTAGCAGCAACTTAAGTATTCAATTTCAATACATAAATATTCATTTATGTATCCACATAATTCGTACATGAGTAAAATCCCTATTTCACAAAATAGTTCATTTATAACTCATTTAATCTCATATTATTCATACATCCCCAAATCATTTCCAATTTCATTCTTGGGAACTATATCAATATTTCATCAATATTTAATCATCATAATCCATGAAAAATTATGATTTAGGCATTTAGGTAATCTCATGCTTAACCTACAAGTTGTAAGCAATTAGATGTCAATCCTCACCTCAAATGAGCTTTAAAACCTTCCTTCTCGCTCCAACGACCAAAGCCTCGGCCAAGAAGGTTTGAGAACTGATTCCTTGCTTTGAATTGAGTGTTAAACAGCCTCCTCAAAGTGCTAGTTCAACCCCTAATCGTTGATACGAAAACAGCCCCTAGAATGGGTGTTTTCCGGCTAACTCGTTTCCTAGTTTTCCAAGATTTGCTCTAGGTTAGTATCTAACCTTTACATCAATAAAATAACCTTATGAAGACATATTATACACTTGGAGTAGTGTGTATAATCGTTCATATCATTTGGAAAATGAAAAGTAAAGTTTTGGGGTTAACACTCACTTTAGGAGAGTAAATCCGTTCTTGCGAGGTTGTGTTCTGCTCGGACGATTTGGGAACCTTCCACTATTACTATTGATGCAAACCAGACCTTCACGGATTCCTCGTCTTGAGATCTGTCTTTTGGTATCTTATACGTCTTAATTGGACGAGTTAATATCAAGTTATGGCTCAAACAATCAGCACTACGCACTGAAGAACGAACCTGCGAACTGCTCTCTTCTTTCCTTCTCTCTTGGGTTGTGTGGATGCTTTTTGCTCTCTTATCTCCTTGGGGTTCGAATGGGGTGTAGGGGGGAGTGTATAGGAGGCCTCAATCATGCTAAGAGAGCATGTGGTTCACAAAAGAGAAGGGTAAGATGTTTGATTGCAATCAAACATGGCGTGGACCTCCTTTTTTATTTCCTTTTTGTAATGTTGTAGCTCTTAAGTCAAAATGTCCGCCCCACATGGTTCCCAAATGATCCCATTCCATTTGGGGTCCAAAATACCAACCAATACTTCCAAAATGAAAAAATGGACCCTATTGTTTTATCTTTGTCATGAGATGTCTTTTTGTACTCATTATAATTTATGTAGGCCAAGTCAATCTCATACATCATATTATTGATCTCCAATATGTGTAGCACCAACCCAATAATTTACAGGATGAATATTATAGAAGGAAAAATCTTACTCCCATTATTTAGCTCAATAATGTCAAAGATGGGACCATAGGCATTTGTATTCTTCTCTAATCATTCTATCACTTATTTTGACATTTGTCATCAGAGGCGGACCCACTAAGGGTCCCATGGGGTCCCGGGACCCCGTGGACTTCGAAAAAATTACCTATATATTATGCATATTTTATATAAAATTATTTAGGAAATGTACATATACCAAACACATGACTAGAGAAACAACGGATAGGAATAGTGTAGCGGGATCCTTGGTGTGTTGAGTCTTTCCATTTTGTGGAGGTACCGTGTTCGATTCTCCCCTGGCACGTTTTTACTTTTTGATTTTACAAACGATTTAATTTAAATAAATCAAAACAAACTCATGTTTTTATTGTACGTTTCTCTTCAAATAAATCAAAACAAACCCATGTTTTTATTGTTTCTCTTCTGGTATCTTTTTTGGGATTAAGTATTAAACTATAATGTTATTTTCAATATTGTATTATGATTTAGAATGAAAAGATATTTCGATGTTGTACCTAAATTTAAAGAAATTTGGAGTGTCGAGAGTAGTTCATGTATTAATTCAAATGATTTGCCATTAGTAAATGAAGAATTGGATCAAGTAATTGCTGAACGTAAAGCTAACTTGGCTTATAATCTACCCGAACAACATGTTGATTTTGAATATTTGGAAGCTGATCATGTATTGAGAATAAAAATTGCTGATTTTCATCCTAATGTTCAAGACGAGGTACGCTGTAGTTACCTTAAAAAAGAACCGTTTCAATTTCTGATTTGGATCTTGGTTTCCCCTTTAATTTAATTGGCGGCAAAAAACGTATATTTGTTTTAAGTTGGTTTGATGAGCATAAATGTTTCTTTAATTTTTTTTATTAGTTTTATACTACCTCCGTCTCACTAAGTTTGGGACAATTCGATTTACGATGTTAGACTGACGATAAAACAAATAGAATCCATGTCCGCACTCAAATCATTTTTAGAAAAAAAAAAGTTACATATTCAAAAACTACATTAAAAGCTTTACAAAGTCGCAAAAACCAGAATCAAATTTGAAAAAAAATTTGATATATAGAGTAAGAGATTAAGAGTGATTTGTGTTGACCAAGTGAGTAGTGTCCGGGACAATCGTAGCGGAACAGAAGGAGTATTAATTAGAGATATACAAGGGTAGGGACCCCATGGCTCCGAATTTCTGGGTCCGCCACTGTTTGTCATTCATATTATTGGACTACTAGTCGTGTGGGTCACCCCCGAGTGGGCCTACGACGTCATTCTTGAATACTTGCTATTTAGCAGGTTGAGCCCAAAATAATGTTTGGACCGCCCGACCTTCCTCAACCTGTCTTGAAAGGTTATGTAACATTATTTAGGAAATGTTGGGCTCTTGTGTTCATTAATAAGGCCCGAATAAGTATTTGTAAAACCCGACACTAATATACGAGTTTGAACAGTACAATATTCAATCATGCACTACGTAAAACATTTGTCGTCTTACAATTGTTTGGAGATCGGAAATTCAATACATAAACTTGAAATTTAAATTGAATTTTCAAGGGCATTCGGGTGCGGTGTCACAACCTCTCTCACACTCTCACACAAAGGAAAGGAAGAAGAAGTAGCTAGAGCACTGCTCTCTAGGGAGTATCTCTCGCAGGCTGAGTCTCACAAGGAAGAAGCACAAGCTTCACATAATAGGCTGGCAGAAGTCACGGGTAAGACCAACACAAAGGGAGTCACGGGTGAAGCAAAACAAAAGGCCTCACGGGTTACCAAGACAAGTAATGCAGCGGACAGCAAAGGAGGGGCCAGCGAGGTAAGGTGAGTCCACACTCAAACAGGTATATTATTGATCAGATAATATACCAAGGTAAAAGGTACCAAAGTGGGAGTAAATATAGGGTGCAAACCTCAGCAAATAAACTGGAAGGGAGGCCTTGGTAGGACCAATACCTCCAACAAAGTTGAAGTACAAGTGTACAACCAAGCAGCCAAGAAATTCTAATCACACACCCCTTTTTACTAAGGGCCCGTTTGGTATGATGTAAAGTAAACACTTTGCATGCAAGGTGTAGGGAAATAATCATTTTACACCGTTTGTTTTAATCATTTGATGTAAACTGCAGGACGCTTTTTTTAAAACATTTTACACTATACCGTGTAAAATATTTTACTTTGGGGGTAGTAAAATACTTTACATCCCTCAAATACGGATGATAAAATATAAACGTCTCCAACCTTCACCATTTATATCTATTTTCGACGACTAAGCTCTCCATGTCACTTCTCATAGTCTTTCTCAATGTTATTTAGAAAGGAAAATTTACTAGGATATGACTAAAACTCAATGAGTTTCTCAATCTATGACCTAACTAGTTTTTATAGCTTTGTATGACCAAAAATCCAAAAATAAATAAAAAATTCATTTATATTTAAATGTTGAATGACGAAAATACTCTTATTTATAATGTGCATTTTGCACTAATTTCGTCCAATTAAAATTACTGCACGTTATATTGTCGTTAATGCACAAAATTAATGCATGACTTTACTGCACGTACGGTAGTAATCACTGCACTTTCGTCAAAATTAATTCTTTTCTCATTCACTTTACGAATTTATATATAATTTTTATTTTTTAATTTTATAAATTTAATAATTTTTTATTATTTTACGTGTAATTAAGTATTTTGTGTTTCATGGCAGCATTACTGCACTATTGGTCATATTCACTGCACAACAAGCTGGTTTAATGCATTCATTCACTGCCATATTCAACACTTATTGTCATGTTCATGGTCATTGTTCAATGCCTATGTTTAATGCCCACAAACCCTGAATTCACTCAAAATACTGAACAATATCTATTATGAATTTATGGCGTTCACTGCCCATATTTAATGCCACAAAGCCTGATTTTAGAAGTTCCTAAAAACACAAAGAAAATTAAAGTAGTGCAAATGTGCAATACATGTATTTTGCACTTGGACCTTTGGCAAATATTTGAAAGATATGAAGTAATAAAATTGGTTCCGTAGTATTTCTAATTTGAACCACGCACTAAAATTTAAACAGATCTTCCGGGTGCTGCCACTCCATGACCGCCGGATCTCTGTATCTCTAGCCTTACCCTTCTTCTTCTTCTTCATGTTCGTATTCGAGCCCGATCTATCTGTTGCGGACATGAGAAATTGACCCAAATCCGTGAAGATCACCATGAATGAAGATGAGAAAGAGGTTGTGTGACTATGGGCTTGGTAGGTGGCTGGGCGGCACGGCTATGGCAGACGGATGGGCGGCGCGGCTATGGCAGACGGCTGGACGGCGCGGCTATGGCAGACGGCTGGACAGCAGAACCATGTGAGACTTGGGCGGAGTGCTAGAAATCCTACGCAGGTAGGCGGCTGGGCTAGAACTAAGGTTGAGAAGAGTAGGATATGATGTTAGGATTTTATAATAATTATCCAAGGGCATATTAGTCCACAAAAAACATTTATTGAATTGTTTATTAATATATTAATTAAATATAACGAATTTTAATTTTATTTTGGGAAAAAAACTTATTAGGTCATAGATTGAGAAAGTCATGGAGTTTTAGTCATATCTAGGATAATTATCTCATTTAGAAATTGAAAGCCAATAGAGGATTCACACTGTTCTCCACATACTCCTAGAAATTGATAGATAGTTACGTACAGCTATATTCAAAATGTTCTTTTCTTCAATTTCTTATTAAAAATCAGTTTCCTCTCATATACAAGAAAAGAAAAGAGAACCCTTAAGAACATAATCAATTATCTTCCTATCTGTGCTGCACTAAACTGCGATTTCCAAGAGGTCAGCTTGTATTTTTCCTTTCTAATTAATTGGTATGTATTATTTGAGATGTTCATGCCAATCATGCGTGTCTAATAAACGAAGTTGTGGAATTCCGTTTTTTTTTTTACTAAACAATGCATTTATTTTTTGCATGTTTTTTTAAATAGATTGCATACCTACCCAAACAATCTATTTTTATTTTACATGCAAAATGATTACATCCCTACAGTTTACATGCAATCACTTTACATGTAAAGTTTTAATATGCAAAGAACCAAACGTCCCCTAAATACAAAATTCTATTTTCTAATTCTTTCAATTTCTTCCGCAAGTGGAAAGGGCACAACTAGACGAGACCGCCCACCTTCAGCGTCTTCATCGACCTCCAGCTTCGATGGGATTTCATAGAACAAGTTTGCTACTACTTATAATGATTTTGGCGTGTGTTACAGGAGTTGGGATTCACCCAGTTAACAAAATAATTGGTTTTGTAGCTATCTGTAGTGCTATTGGTGGTTTTGGATTTTTCTATTGAATTAGAAAAAATAAAGATAGACACAAATATGAAAGATCACTAGAATACTCAATTTATATTCTCTCAAGAGTGCAAATTTCGTAGGCAAAATACATGGAGGAGAATATTAGGGGGTGTCCCCAACTTGGATTCTTATGGATTTTAATGGAATTTAGAACTCCACAAGAATTTAGGTATCCTCAATTTAGATTTTCATGGAGTCCGTGAAAATATGGGTGTCCACAAACATTCCATGGATTTCTAATATTATTTATGGGGATGGATTTTAATGGATTTTGATAGAATTATACATGTAAAAGATTCCATCTCGTTGTTAATCTTTTCCGTTACTTGATTATATATATTGTACTAACCTCAGGTTTGCACTGCCTTTCTGCGTTTTATTTCTCTGCTTTGAGTTTTGCGTTGCGTTTCTGCGCTGCTCTATGTCTCTGCCGAACAAGAATAAAGTCGAAACGATCGTCTTTTGCTCCCTTGGTCTGCGTAACAAGAACACCTCTGTGCGTAAGAAAAATGCTTGTTGTACTTGTCTGTCCGATAAGTTGTTTGTTCGGAGACGAGTTTCCGGACAGATAATTTGTTTGCTGGAGACAGACAAGTGTACAATTTTTGTGTACACCTAGCTCCATCCCTTTGCGTAAACGTCTTTTCACTTAAACCATCGTTAGTTAGCAATAAGGGTAATATAGATATTTCATTAAGTTTTAATTATTCTTATTTAACTTAGTGACTGTATTTAGTAAAATGGATGTAGGCGCACAGATAGTGAGTGACCCAGTGAAGCTATTTCAGCAACAAAATTAGTCTCTCTGTAAACGTGTTCAATGCCGACTTCCCAAGGAAAATTTAAGAATTGAGAGTCTTCTAATTTAAGTGGTGTGTCGTGATGTTCTCCACTAGTTGCTTGGCTAGCTTTGTTAGTTTATTCGTGTATAATTCACGTATAACACACTCAAACGTATAATTCACGTATAATACTCCTGTTTATGAATTTTTCAGAAAATTTAGAAAAAATCACGTACTTTAAGGATAAAATGTATAATACATGTACCGTATGTATTGATACGTATTTTATAAAAAACACCATCATAATGAAACTAATAGAGTTAATTGTTTGGTTAAAAACACCATTATAATGAAAACTTATAGAGTTAATTGTACGTATTGATACGTATTTTATAAAACAAACACCATTATAAAATTATTTATATTACTTAAAAAATTATTATGCCTTATATGTTCGTTAATTGTTTAATAGTTATTAGCTTTAATAAATTAATTAATTCCTTAAAGTCATAATTTGTTTCAATATTACTATTGTATTACTCTTGGGCTCCACGCATACCAAGACTCCAAAGAGAAACAAATATTGTTGCGGCTCACCAAACTCATGGCCACAATAATATCAATTATTTTTTAGTAATATTTCTCTACTTCTACTCAAATAGGCAATGTCATTTCTATTACTTATTTTACCTATTCAAATTTGTATATTTGAAAAAAATTATTCTGTACATTTTAAATGGTTGAAGAATGTGATTCATACATATAAGACACATATTATATGGGAAAAATTGACAATAATAATCCCAACTATTGCCGGTCCGCTAAAAATAATCTCAACTATTAATTATTTTTGTATAATCCCAACTATATAGACTGTCCGCCAATAACGGTCCATGACCAGATATTACCTCTATAAAAAGTGAATTTTAAATAGAAATTAAGCGTAAAAATTAAAAGTTGAGATTATTTATAGGGATTACTTGTTATATCTCATCTCATCCACTTTAGAAACTACAAGAATTTATTCATATGAACCATTATTGGCGGAAGGTTCCTAAAGTTGGGATTATTCTGGAATAATCAATAGTTGGGATTATTATGAGCGGACCGTCAATAGTTGAGATTATTACTATCAATTTTTCCTATTATATGTTGTATTATTAAACTGAAATGTTTAAAACACGTCTATATCTTTAAAACGTCTAGTTAGCCATATTTTATATAATTGTATCGTATAATACTAACATATTATACATATTATTGTATTATTTAGGAACCGTGCAATACTAACAAAGTTAGCTGGAAAGTAATCAGTTTGCAGAAGAGAAAAGTGTTGATTCAGAACATGAACTTGTATCAAAGGGAGTAAGGAGTACATCATTTGTCATTAGAAACTTGTACTTATACTTGTTATTTCGTGTAGGTTGAGTACATATTTGATTACTCAGTTAAAACTTGGTTATCTGCCTAACGTTTTTGCTGATGTGTATTACCTGAGTCCAAGTCACCTTTCTCGTCCATAAACCTAACAGGCTAGAAAACCGCGATTCCATTCCCGCGCTCTGTAAACTAGTCCAAAGCACGAGAGTGGATGTAGCATATGTAGAAGACAGAGAAGAGGATTGGAACTCATTCAAGATCCAGAAACGGTTGAGCTTGAACGAACGAAGTAATGGAGAATGATTTTTATGAGGTATGTTTAAGGTTTTATGCAAAGCTTTATTTATGAGATTAAAGTTTAAAGTTTCAAAACTCAGGGGTTCGATTAGTACAAAGAATTGATTCCCAGGATTAAATTATTTTTTGGAGTGTTTGATTTTTCTCCTATTAAACCGTGAACTAGCTATGCATTTGGGGGGGGGGGGGGGGGGTTCAAAATTTCGATCCTATAAATATTGATTGTTACAAGTGCCCATTAGTCAGTCCGACTCAGTTCTCACATTCATAGATTATAGAATTACATCATAAGTCATAAGTCTTCTAATGGCCAGGATCGGAGAAAGCCTCGTAATCTACCAAAACAGCCTTTGAAGTTTGAATAATTTGAGATTTCTTTTTGCTAGATGCAAAAACAGTTCTAGAAGAATGTCACTACTGGAGGCATGTTAACAGGTATGGGGTGAAGACAGTAGTGAATGGGAGGATCCACATAGGGAGCCTATGAAGATGCCATTTGTTGTTGATTTAGGATTTGAAGATGATGGTCTTTTATTTGAAGATGAAATGAACTCTGAAAATGAAGATGACGAGGAGTTGAGACATGGTAGAACTTTGTTAAGGAAGTTGGTGACAAATGATAAAAGTCTTGGCAAAAATAAACGAGAGAAAAAAGACAAGCAATACACTTTTGAGGAGGAGGAGCCGTTGGTGGGTGACAGACTGAAGCTAGTGATACAGACTACTTTAGTTCAAGTAATGAAGGGAGTTATAAATCATGTTTGGACGCAGAGGAAGATCACTGTTTGAGAAGTAAAACTAGATTTCCTCCTTTTAGACCAAATGACAAGGTGGAGTTTTCATTGGGCATGAGTTTTGAGTCTAAATCTCAAGTTAAAGAGGCAATGGATAAATACTCAATAACTAATAGATATCCGTACTGTTATCTTAGCACAAGATATTAGCAAAATATATTTTTTTGGGTATGGATATTAACTTGTGATTAGCAAGATTTTTTTTTGAAATATTACGTTTTATTTTCAGAGATTAAGATCAATGCACCAAAAAGAGGTCACTCAATCTGCAGGGAATGGTAAAAAAAGGCATGCTGGAGAAATGGAGGTTATTGCAAATGCTGCTGCTGCAAGACATAGATTTCACCGTCTATATGACTCCATGGAAGATGTTGTACAAAATACATCGCAAGTCATTGATCCTACTCAGTACTAGTGTAGCTATTGTTTTTTGTAATCTACAAATGATGTTTTTTTGTGGATGGTAGAACCAAAATTCTCATGATGCATCTATTGCATTTTGTTTTGTTAGCTTGTTTTGAAGTATCTGTTTTTATTGAGATACTTTGGAGGAAGGAAGGAATGATTAGTAATCTTGATATTGTGAAATTTATCAAGAATAGGAGACTTGTGATATTTTGTAGTGATACACTTTTGATCACCTAGAATGCTAATTTGGTTATGATTTATAGTTGTAAGGGATTCTGTTAAATTATTATATGCAGCATGTTTTGGTTCAAAGACCCATTATTTGAGTTCATATTACTTCATTTTGTATCATGTTTAATACTGCAGGCTACAACAATCCATTATAGTGTTGGGCTTGTTCAAAAGCTACATTGTTTGAATTTCTATTCCTTCAATTAAAAGCGAGTATAAAAGTGCAGCAGCCCCTCAAAGATTGTGGCTGCAGGAATTTTTGATATACAACTGCAGGGGGATATCTTACACTTATATAAGTGCAGCAGCCCCTCACATGTGACATGTCATATACACTTATACATATTAACAAAGTAATAATTAAAACAAACTGGAAATCAGGACATGAAGATCGCATCATTGGAGCCATCAGGGGAAAAAAACTTTATACCAAGTATATTTTTACAACACGACATGCAAAATCACAACATCGGAGTGTTTGCAATCACTTAAAAAAAAAGCACTTCTCAGCTTTTGGCTTAAAAAAACACTTATTTACCAAACACTACCAATTTTAACTTTTTCTCGGCTTGCGTGTGAAAAGTGCTTTTCCCCTTTCTATTACACAAAAAGCACTTATTTTACCAAACACTATCAACTTTTACTTTTCAAAATCACTTTTTTCTCAAACACTATCAACTTTTCCTACTAATCACTTTTTCCTTACATCTCCAAAAGTGCTTTTATTTAAGCAGAAGCAGTTGCAAACACTCCCGAATTAGTGCTACATCTCCATTAGTAGCACCATTACTCCTTTCTTACTCCAAAACACACAACATACATATTTAGTAGCACCATTACTCATATCTAACTTGTCGTTATTGTTGGGGTATATCACGTAGGGAGTGATAATTCGAGTACTTGAATATCTTAAGGATCGTGTAAGTTCACTTTCCGAATTGATATTTCTCCCCTATGCCTGGGTTACAAGAAATTCAATCTAGGATAATCCTTAAGGACACTCTAGAACTTAGGCACAAGAACTAGAGCCAAACTAGTGAGTATATGGATTGTTTTGCTTTAATTTGAGTGCCAAAGTGATGAAGATATGTTGGATGTTATTCCTCTACCTCCTCTGTACGAAATATGGTGGTATATATCCATATTCACCGTCCTAGGCAGTTGCAACACGTTTAAGAATAACCGCAGCAGTTTTGGGGAAACTGCTGGAAACTGCCTAACCGTTCTAGAACTCGGTCTAGAACCACAGAGCTGGTCTACCGAAAGTTATACCTCGAGTTCTACCTCGAGTTCCACTAACGTAGACACTTTGGAATTAAACTAGTTCTTATATACAAGTGTGCACTCCACACCTACTAACTTGTATTAGATCATAGTTCTAATTCCCATTGGCACTCATGTCATTTCCAATTACACAAAACGGCCGGTGACACTAAAATCACCAACAATCCTCCCCCATTTTAGTGTAACCCATGAAATGACATAACAAAGTTTACAAACCAAAACTTGCACATAAATGGAAATGTCGATACGATTGAATTTCCATCTTAGTATTTTACACATTCAAAATATTCGAGAATCGGGGTGTCCTACGGATTGAACCCTTCAACCCATTTGAATACCTCAAGATAAAATACATACAAGTTTCTATACTCAACTAGAATACAAACTTGACACAATTATAAAGCCGTGTGTCCTAATCCCATTCATGACCGTATAAAAGCCAAGTCACAAGCCTTTTGAAGTGCGGCTACACTTCACGATCATATAGGTAATTCCTTTACTCGTGCACCTGCTTACACTTTATCAAAGGAATTATTAAGAAATAAATTCAGTCTCCCTACTACAGGTCCGAACACACACCTTGGGATGATTTTCATTGTGTGTTCCAATCCATTAAGTGTGAGCTTTCCGCATTGAATTCAGCCTCTAACGTTGTATTAGAGGGGAATTGGGTGTCTCGCCATTAAGGATTAAATGGACTTTAAACTCATCCCTATAACAGACTTGTGCACTAAGTCCCGGGCCAAACTTTTGGTCAAGTGGTCCGCCAAGTTATGTTGCGATCTTACAAATTCCACCGAAATTACACCATTCATGATTAGTTCCCTAATCATACTATGTCTAACACCCAAGTGTCTAGACTTGCCATTATAAACATGACTATATGCCTTAGCCAAAGTGGCAGCACTATCAAAATGGATAGAAATAGGTGCAATCGGCTTCCTCCACAATGGAATCTCAAAAATTAAATTTCTTAACCACTTCGCCTCTTTACCGGCGGTAGCCAACGCAACAAACTCAGATTCCATCGTTGAACTTGTGATACAAGTTTGCTTCTTGGATGCCCAAGATATGGCACCTCCCCCAAGCAAAAATACCCAACCACTTGTAGAAGAGTGATCCTCCACATTGGATATCCAACTTGCATCCGAATATCCTTCTAATACCGAAGGATACTCAAAGTAAAACAAACCATAACCCATGGTTCCCTTCAAATACTTGAATACTCTCTTCATTGCTTGCCAATGTTGAGTACTAGGATTACTAGTAAACCGGCTCAACCTACCCATGGCAAAAGCAATATCCGGCCGAGTGCTTGTCATGGCATACATTAAACTACCAATAGCTTGAGAGTACTCAAGTTGTGATATTGCCTTTACTTTATTAGGCATCAACCTCACGCTAGGATCCATGGGAGTTAGGGCTGGGTCCGAAAAACCGAAAACCGAATCAAATTAAACCGAACCGCAACCAAATAAAACCGAACCGCTAAGAAACCGAAACCGAATGTAAAAAACCGAACCGAACCGAAGTTGTTCGGTTCGGTTTTGGTTTTTACCCTTCAAAACCGAACCGAACCGAACAAACCGAACTATTGAAAATATGAAATTTATATGTTAATTGTTAAGCATTAATTCTAATTAATCTTAATATCATCAATAGTCTTTGGTTTTCTTTGGTTTTCGTGTGTTAGAGAAATAATGTTTGTGTTATGTTTAATTTAATTTAGTTTATAAATTCATTTACACATTCATTGTCTGTAATGATAGCTATATTGAATGATGATCATATGTGTTTACTAGTTATTAGTAGTAATTAACTTTTATTTTTAGATAACTTTAAGATTTTATATTGATAAAACAATAAATATTAATCTCAACTATATCACATAGAACACAGATATTCATGAAAAATTTTCAAACTACTCACAAACAAATTATATCAATAATATATACAGTTTTATCTAGCTCGCATACTCATATAATTCAAGACATATTTATCTCTTCTCATTTTTATTTTATTTGTCGTTGTATTGTGCTTGAATTCTTTATCTAATATGTTTGATCCCTCTAAGTATATATTATATCAATTTTAAATCAAGTGAAAAATTTTTGGTAAAAAAACCGAAAAAACCGAAACCGAACCGAAACAAACCGAACCAATCAAACCGTGGTTCCAAGTTTTGGAGTGTAAAACCGAACCGAAACCGAACCGAACTTTTTACTTTGATTCTACATTTGGTTTTAGGTCAAAACCGAACCGCAAGAACCGAACCCACCCCTAATGGGAGTACCAATGGGTGAACAATCACTATAATTAAACCTTTTGAGAATATTCTCAACATAGTGAGCTTGAGTCAAAGCAATCCCTTTGTTTACCCGTTTAATCCTTATACCAAGGATCACATCCGCCTCCCCCATGTCCTTCATGGAAAACCTTGATAATAACAACCTTTTGGTTTCATCAACCTGATTTTGGTCAGTTCCAAAAATCAGCATGTCATCAACATAGAGACATATGATCACACTCGCCCCTAAGGCATCAAATCGGCTATAGACACACTTGTCCGATTGGTTTAAACTAAAACCATTGGACAAAATAACTTCATCAAACTTTTGATGTCATTGTTTGGGTGCTTGTTTCAGCCCATACAATGATTTAACAAGTTTACAAACCTTATGCTCATTTCCCGTCATAACAAAACCTTCCGGTTGTTTCATGTAAACTTCCTCATCAAGATCACCATTTAAAAATGCCATCTTGACATCCATCTGATGTATAATCAGATTGTGTATAGCCGCCAAAGCAATCAACAACCTAATGGTTGTAATTCGAGCAACCGGCGCATACGTATCAAAATAGTCAATTCCGGGTTTTTGTCTAAAACCTTGAATGACCAACCGAACCTTGAACCTGTCAACAGTTCCATCCACTTTCATCTTCTTTTTGAAGATCCATTTGCAACCTAGGGGTTTAGAACCCGGTGGCAAATCCGACAACACCCAAGTGTTGTTCTCCATAATTGATGACATTTCGTCATCAATTGCCTCCTTCCAAAAGGCAACATCTCGGGACTCCATTGCCTCTTTAAAGGTATTTGGATCATCCTCAACTTGGTAACAATATGAATATTGTACCCCCGTTTCGTCCCTTGAACCTTCCACTAAGTATAAGTGAAAATCGGGACCAAAGTCTTTCACGATGCGGCCTCGTTTGCTTTTCCTTATTTGTGATGCTTCGGAATTCAAAACACCATCCAAACATTCTGAAACTTGCACCTCACTAGTGCCTGGAACTAGGTCCTTTGGTCTTTGAATTGATGAAAATCTCATCTCATCAAAGATCACATCCCGAGACTCAATCACGGTGTTAACCGCTACCGCATCGTTAGGTTCTATTACATAAAACTTATAAGCCTTGGAGTTTTCAGCATACCCTATGAATATGCAATCAATTCCCCTTTCCCCCAAAGTTTTTCTTTTGGTCTCGGGCAATTTTACAACCGCCCTACAACCCCAAACCCGAAAATGTTTCAAATTCGGCGCTTTCTTGTACCAAAGCTCATATGGGGTTGTCTTGTTCCTTTTGTTTGGAACCCTATTTAGAACATATCAGGCCGTGAGCATGGCCTCTCCCCAAAACCCTTCACTCAAACCCGAGTAGGAAAGCATGGAATTAACCATTTCCTTTAACACTCGATTTTTCCGTTCGGCCACACCATTTTGTTGTGGTGTATACGGAGCCGTGGTCTCATGAATGATTCCAACAGATTGAAAATAATGGGGATCCATATATTCTCCTCCCCGACCAGTCCTAAGACATTTAATTGGATTACCCAATTGCAATTCAACCTCGGTTTTATACACTTTAAATTTCTCTAAAGCTTCATCCTTGGTGTGTAATAAATACACATAACAAAACCGAGTTGAATCATCAATAAAAGTAACAACATACTTTATATTGCCAATGGAAGGAGTTGAGTGAAAGTCACATAGATCACTATGTACAAGATCCAAAATAGCCGAATTCCTTTCAATATTAGGAAACGGTTGTTTTGTAATCTTAGTAAGCATGCAAGTCCTACACTTATCATCATTATTAATATCAAAAGCCGGAATTTAACCAATCTTTAGACATTTCATGCATTTTCCTAAAATTAACGTGAGCTAATCTAGCATGCCAAATCATACAATCATTCATCGAAGATGCCACAAAAACAGAATTAGCACTAACAATTAATTTATTCACAACATTCAAACGAAACATGCGATTTGATAAATATCCAAAACCAACAAACACACCACCCTTGGACAGAATATATTTATCGGATTCAATCACTTGTTTGAACCCTAAATTATTCAACATACTTCCCGAAACAAGATTATTTCGAACCTTCGGTACATACAAAACATCAAACAACGTAATTGTTTTTTCAGAAGTAAATTCTAAAACAACTACACCCGTTCCCAAGATAGGCACCATTGACTCGTCTTCCATGCGTAAGAAGGAACCAACATCCACTGGTTCTAGGTCTTCGAACCATCCTTTAACCTTACACACATGGCTCGTAGCCCCCGAGTCAATCCACCATGCACAGTCATCATCCTGTACATAAAAAGATTCTGGAATGAGTGATACATAATTCTGGACAGAATTATCAAAGTTAGTCAGGAACTGACCTCCTTTCCGTGGAACCAGGTCCTTAGACCGTTCCTGTCCACTGCCACTCATTCCAGCGCCATTCTTGTTCAGTTTCACACGGCAATCACGCTTGACATGTCCAACCTTTTGACACCTCCAACAAACCAAACCTTTCGGTTTCTTGTTGGGTTTGTCATGGTCTTCATACTTGCGCTTTTTGCCTTTCCCCTTATCTTTCGGGTTAGATTTATTATCCTCAACCAAGTGAACATGAGGCTGTCCATATTCAACTTCAACCATAACTTGGTCATTCTCTTGCACACGAAGAGACTCGTCAATGCGCAAGTGACTCCTAAGTTGAACCAATGACAGTTCCTCATCTTGATGTTTTAAAGAACGTTTAAAATTCTTCCAAGAGGGTGGAAGTTTGTCAATTATACTCGACACGGCATAGGACTCATCAACATTTATCTTGTGGAGTTTAAATTGACCAAGAACACGAAGGAGTTCATTGTATTGTTCCATAATCGGCCTTGAGTCAACCATTTTATAATTATTAAAATCACTCACCAAGAACTTCTTACTAGAAGCATCCTCGGCGATGTATTTTGACTCAAGAGAATTTCATAATTCCTTCGCACTCTCAACATTTCGTAAATATCAAATAACGCATCAGACATACCGTTAAGAATGTAACCCCTACATATGTAGTCATCGTTCTCCCACTTGTTGCGCCTCCTAGTTTGTTCCAAGGTTTCATCCTCCATCACTTCCGGCATTGGAGTGCTCAACACGTACACAACCTTCAACGTGGTGAGAAGAAAGTGCATCTTCTTCTGCCATCTACGGAAATCGTTCCCTTGAAACTTGTCCAATTTGTTGAACTTGGATGTCATCTCTTCCACGGTACTCATGATTATCACAAAGAAAATATCAATTCGATTGTTGGGGTATATCACGTAGGGGGTGATAATTCGAGTACTTGGATATCTTAAGGATCGTGTAAGTTCACTTTCCGAATTGATATTTCTCCCCTATGCCTGGGTTACAAGAAATTCAATCTAGGATAATCCTTAAGGACACTCTAGAACTTAGGCACAAGAACTAGAGCCAAACTAATGAGTATATGGATTGTTTTGCTTTAATTTGAGTGCCAAAGTGATGAAGATATGTTGGATGTTATTTCTCTACCTCCTCTGTACGAAATATGGTGGTATATATCCATATTCACCGTCCTAGGCAGTTGCAACACGTTTAAGAATAACCGCAGCAGTTTTTGGGAAACTGCTGGAAACTGCCTAACCGTTCTAGAACTCGGTCTAGAACCACAGAGCTGGTCTACTGAAAGTTATACCTCGAGTTCTACCTCGAGTTCCACTAACGTAGACACTTTGGAATTAAACTAGTTCTTATATACAAGTGTTCACTCCACACCTACTAACTTGTATTAGATCATAGTTCTAATTCCCATTGGCACTCATGTCATTTCCAATTACACAAAACGGCCAGTGACACTAAAATCACCAACAGTTATCATGGTCAAACAAAACCAACCACAAAAGTAGTAGCACCATTACTCCTATAATACTCTAAAACACACACCACTTGCTCTTGATTTTGCTCTTTCACACCTTCCATTAAGTTCAGCCTGTTGTTTGTTTATTTTCCTCAATAAACCCGGTATTATAACCTTGGACCGGGAACACACTTCTAGGTCAATCCTTGGGAATGTGTTGCATCCACCTAAAATCTGAAAAATTGATACACATATGGTTTAATAAAAATTAATTAAAATAACGATTACTTAACATAAAATGATTTTTTATATTGTTTTAAGAAAGTGGAGATATAAAACCAAGACAAGCTTTAATCTCATAAATAATTTAATCCTGGGATCAATTCATGATTCATGAATCATGGTAGTATGGTACTAATGGAACCCCTGACTTTACAAACTTTAAATTTTAATCTCATAAATAAAGCCATAGCTAGAACTTTGCATAAAACCTTAAAAATACCTCATAAACATCATTCTGTTTTGTGTAATAGTTTACACCTTATATTTCATCTATTTTCCACCCCTTTTAATTTGATTACCTTCCGTATATGTATAAGGCTGAATCCAAAAGGACTATCAATCCGTACTTTCCCAGTAATAGTTTTTATAGCTTTTCTTTTTTACCTCTATAATAACTATATTTAGTAAGTGAATGACTTGTGTTTATCACTCATTATAACTATATTTATAATAACAATATTTAGTAAGTGAATAACTATGTTTGATACCTGTAGATGATTCAAATTGAAATGGAAAAGTTCAGGCTTCTAATACTATACCATCGTATCAATTGGAAAAATGACGAACCTGAACATTTAGATATAGCGGTGAGCCGATTCCATGTGTGGAATGAAGTTTCTGTCTGAAAATTGCTATGGGATTTATCTGATGGATGGCTAACTGTATTTTGCTTTGGAATAGTATACAGAGCGCGGGAATAGAATTGTAGTTTGCTAGCCTGTTAGGGTTTATCGGTTTATCCCTCGTAAACGGACGAGAATAGGGGACTTGGACTCAGGTAATACACATCAGCAAAAACGTTAGGCAGATAACCAAGTTTTAACGGTGTAATCAAATATGTACTCAACCTACACGAAATAACAAGTATAAGTACTTCCAAGTTTCTAATAATAAATGGTGTACTCTTTACTCCCTTTGATACAAAGTTCATGTACTCAAGGGGCCTTGTTCCCAAGGGGCCTTGAGAGCACAATTCCAATTTTGACAACGTACATAGGTTAGATTTGATGGCGAAACTGGAGTGATATGCTCGTCATAATTTTGCGGTTGCTTCTGGGCAAATTCATCACATACACTCATAGATGATAAAAATCACAATGGAGTCGCAGATCACTGCCATGGAGCCTTGCAACGCTGCGGATTACTCCATTCTAATTTGATGCATCCCCTTTGCATTTCTAATTAGTTGGCTCAACAGCGACTTCTAAGTTTCATTTTCAAGCCTCTGGACTCTTAAGCGAAAAAGCGAGCATGGTTCGCCTACAAACTGTTCTCATGGAGCTATTCATATGGAAGATGCTTCATTGATTCAAATCTCTAGATGAAATTAAACTTTTCGATTTTTTTATGCGGAGACTTCAGAAATCCCAATTCAGGCCATATTTACTTTTCTGAAACAAAGCATCTGGTGGTTGTGATTGTATCTGCTACTTTTTACCTTGATACTCCTATATGTTATCTTAGGATATTCTTGATAGTTAAGAAATTTGTGTCTAGCCATACAACAATGAGATTAGATATACTGAATATACTAAATCAAGGTTTCATCTTGATTTAATGACCAAGTGTGTGTTGTGCATGTGTTGGGTTTTGTGTATCTCTTCCTCCCCACAAAATTCCTGCTATACTTCCATGTTCCAGGCATCCAAGCTCCCTAGGCTGTGCCCATATTTGTAAAGTGGTCCAAAGTTATTGTTATTAGCCATGGTGGCCAAAATGGAAGGTGGGTGGTTGGCTAAACAAAGACCATGTGAGGAGGTGAGAGCAAATACCTTGGCATAAATGGATGCTGGTCCCAAGTACATATCAAGAATTATTGTACCTCCACACAGACATTTAGGTGACACCAATAAGAGGACTCTAAATTCAAGTTTGCTTTCTCAATCATATGGATTCTATATGAGATTTTTTCAATGAGATTCTTAGAGTAGTTTGGTGCAACTGGTCGGTTTGAAGATTATAATAAAAAATAATGTAAAGTAGGTCCCTAATCTTTAAGAATACGTTTATAGATGTTCAAGTAAACATAAAAACACTACAACTATCTCAAATCTACCCCAAAATCAGCTCACCATCACTTATTCAATTGGGTAGATTTAAGACTTGAGAGAATGTTACTATACCATAAAACTCTCCCTACATGTATCCTGATCCAGTGATCCCTCATCCATTAATAGATAGTATTATACAAGACTAATATATATTGCAAAATACTAAGAAACACTAAGCCAAGCTAAGGGTGAAAATTCTTCTTTCAAATATCATCAGCCCTCACCTGCAATTCCATTTTCTAGAACCAATGCATCTGCTTTCTTCATATCTCCATTTTCTTTAGCCAAGCTCTGAGCTTTCTTTTGGCCTTCAGCTTCTTTATGTCTTCCTCTTCCTTGGCATCCGCGATTCTCTTTTCTTCCTCAGCTTTCTTCTTCAATTCTTCATTTGCAGCTTCTTGTAGAGATTTAACCAGTCTCTCGAGACGAGTGTCAATGTTCTCTCCAGCAGATTTGGGCATCATGTTCTCAGCAACATCGGCTGGCGCAACTTTGGTTTCCGCTAGCAAACGCTTGATTTCTGGAAATAGAGGGTGAGGTTGGGTATCTTTTTCCGTATCCATATCGAGATAGTTCTTTGCCAATACCTTGAAAGCTTCAAAGCAGCAATAAGACATCTCAATATGGCTGTCCATTCTCCCTCTCCTAATCAGAGCAGGATCAAGTTTTTCAATGTGATTTGTAGTGAAAATTATGATTTTTTCTTCTCCAATAGCTGACCAGAGACCATCAATGACATTGAGAAGCCCGGATAGAGTCACCTCACTCCCTTTTTTCTCTTTTTCCTTGATCAACTCCTTGATGGGATCTTTTTCTTCCTCTGATGATTCATCCTCATCTTCCTCCTCCTCCTCCTTCTTCTTCTTCCTCTGACCTGTTAGGTCAAGGGAGCAATCGATATCTTCAATGACTATGATGGACTTACCTGAAGTGTCTATCAAGAGCCTCCTTAGCTCATTGTTATTCTTCACCGCTGTCAACTCGAGATCATACACGTCGTACTGCAGAAGATTGGCAATGGCGGCAACCATGCTTGACTTTCCTGTCCCGGGTGGACCGTGTAGGAGATACCCGCGCTTCCACGCCTTGCCTATCTGAGCATAAAACTCCTTTGAGTCCTTAAAGTTTAGAAGCTCATCCTTGATCTCTTGTTTCCGCCTTGGTTCCATAGCTAGTGTGGTGAAGTTGGAAGGATGCTTGAAGATGACATGACTCCATTTGGTGCTCTTCCACCCACGCCAGTCGTCACTCTTGTTGTTCGTGTACAGCTTAAGCTTCCTGTCCTTGACAGCAATCGCTTCCCCCTCCTCTAGCACATGCTTGAGATAGGATTTTGTGATGATCTCTCGGTTCTTCTTGTGAAACTTAAGCGAGAAAAATCTCTTCTCTTCCTCCCTAGGAAAGTAAGTGATGGTCTGGCTATTGGGAGGTATTTGGTTGGAACTCCACCATACCTTCACCTCCTTATCACCCTTCCCATGATTTCTGTAAACATCTGTCACGACCTCGCCGTTGTCCATTCTGAGCACCACCCGCTGGGTGGTGTCTTTGGCGGCTTTCGCGACGAGGTGATTAGCATTCGAGGTGGAGTTCTGACCCAGGTACCTCTCGATAGCGAGGAACACTTCGCTCCTGTCGAACAAGTCCTCTGCTTCAAACTCATGGAAGATGATGTGAACGTATGGGTAGAAAAATCTGTAAATTCTGTGGAAAGGATAAACTATGTATGATTGAAGTTGATGAGGGAAATAGTTATGGTATAAGGTACAGATGAACATGAGTGTTGCAAGGGCAGGGCCTAGTTTAGACAACACATCTTCCATCATCAACATCATCATTGTCTGTATAAACTTGATCCTCCAATCCTTCTGCTTTATATACGCCTCTGTATTCTTTTTTGTCTTGCTTATAGCTCTTTCTGATTCCAATGAAACATATAAAAGGTTTTTATAGTTATTAGTTCTAATTAGGATGAAACTGCGCTAGGTTGTGTCGGGGTAGTTTCCCAAATAAAAATTTGGCAACCACGTGTGTAAATAATTTTTTTTGGCAACCGCGCTAGTACATATTTCTTTTGGCAACCATGTGTGTACATAAATATTTGTTTGCATCCACGTGTGTAATTAAATTGAAATTCAAAAATTCTGTTTTTTTTTCAAATAGGAGTAAATTAGTTCCATTTTGAAACATAATAAGTGTAGTATTTTGGCATGACTACAGTCTTATCGCAAGCCATAATTTCCAAATATAGTGTCATAAATACTAGATTTCACATTATTTTGTTCCCGGACAATTTCCGTTTTTAATATATACTCTAAAAATAATTGCGGTGACCTAATGTCCTAACTTTTAAAGTGTTAGGATGTTTCTGCTGTCATTTGCTGGTTTGGTCTGATCTGGTCTGGTCTAAACCGGTTTTGTCTGATCTGGTTTCTTTGTATTTTTATAACTACGCAAGTCTGGTCTGCTCTGATCTGGGACAAATTACAGTCCAAGTAAAAACATCCTTACACTCTATCCCATATTAACGTTAGAAATTGCTCAATATATGATTAAACCACATAAAATTCAAAAACATGACTCAGTATATTTTATTCCTTAAATAACACTTATTTAATCCTATTTTGATTAAAACTTTCCAAAATATGAATGAATGAGTTCTATTTTAGGTATAAAACATTTGTAGTTCTATTTAAGAATTTGATTCATGTTTTAGTTATATTTAGAATTTTATGTATTAACTTTTGATATTTAGTAATAATAATAACTCTTTACAGGTTATTTATTACGATGAAAATACGCTATGTTTTCTTTTTTGACTAGGTTTATTAGCTAATTTCATAATCAACTATCATCAAATTCACAAATTCAAACTATTCTTTCACTTTTATTAAAAAGACTCAAACTTCATCTTTTTCAACAATTATACTTTTCTTTTTAGTTTTTCAAAATTACACATTTTTATCAATACCAATAAGATATAATCAATACAAGTTTGTAAACTTAAAACTAAAAGAAGTGAAAAAATAAGAAAGATAAATATGATTTTCTTCTTAAATTTTACGTATTAATTTATCTATTGAAAGTGTAATTTTTAGAAAAATTGAAGTTTGAGTCTTTTTATAATAAAAGTGAAAGCATATGATAGATTTGTGAATTTGATAATAGTTGAGGACATATTTATCTAATCATCCTTTTGACTATTTACTCCGTAAACAATCATTGTGGTGTCATAACTTTAGTTTTATTGCCCTTCCTTTATTAACTTTAGAGTGGAATCGGTCCGGTCTGGGTCGGGTTTTTGTTAAACCCGGAAATTACCCATTAGTTATCGGGTTATGTAAATTAGGGATTGATCGGGCTAAACTTGCAAGTATACAAGTGCCGATATAGTAATAAAATACCGGTAAATACCGGGTCGATCCACAGGGAAATGGTTGTTATTATAAAGTCGAATATTGAATGCAAAGAATATAAATGATATAATTTTTTTTGAACTTGGCTCTTTGAGGTTGATTTAAACAAGAATGAGAATTACTAAGGCAATCGGGATTCACCTAAATGCTTTAATAGTTATTTAATAATAGTTCTTTCCCAATAATCATGAATACGATGTCGCTAATATATTCTCAACTCCGGTTAAGGCAGCGAGAGCGTGGTTTTCATTACGTGTAAGTCCCGTTACGGCTTACATTCATCTACCGAAAACCCCGTTGAATATCAAGACATCACACCCATATCATATAAGACCGGATATATTTCTATTCTCGGTACTATATATGTTTATCCTTTAATGTTCATAGTTTAGACTTCAACGTTAATTGCAAGCATAAACTAAATTTAACATACTTCTATGTTGTACACCATAGTCATAAACAATCAAAATGTAATGGATAAATCACAATTTATTGGTTTAGAACTTTTATCAAACACCTAGTGTGCATAGAGGTTCATCCCTAGCCTTAGCTAAGAAATTAGCCTCTAATGCTCATATTAATCACAATACAATATTGAAATGTAATAGAACATGAAATTACAAAGGAAATAATACCTAAACACCAATGGTTTCGGAGGTTGAAGTTTCCTCCTCAAGAACTTGAAGAACAAAAGCAAAAACAAAGTATGAAAACTATGAATTAAAGTATGGAATGGGATGTCATTGCTTGATGAATTGAGGGCTTTATATAGGCTAAAGAATGACATCTTTTAGTCTATTCGAGCCCAACAATCAGGTATGGAGCAATATTTGATCAAGAGATGAGGAAGGTGAAGTTTTCCCATCAAAAATTCTCTTGCACGTTGCTGTGTTTTAGCAGAAAATCGTCCCAACCGGCCCCGGTCAGTCTAGAACCGGCCCCGGTCGCAAACAGGCTCGTTAAGTGCAAAAAAACCTTCCAACCGGCGCCGGTTATAGGCTGACCGGCGCCGGTTGCAGCGCCCCAAAATTGTACTTCGTCTTTCTTCCTCCGAAATGGATCAAAACGTGTTGGTTTTTGTACCGGGATTTTGGGAATGTTCCGCTATGAATTTGGACATGATTCCTTCACCAAAGTTGTAGATAATGAAGTCTTCTATCCACCAAAACTTGAATGACGTGATTTTATTCATCCAATCAAACGTTATGGCTAAAACACTGAGAGGTATGCATCCTGAAATCCCACCAGCAACATCTGACTTTGTTGGTTGATTGAGTCTTGTTCCTTTCATATTTTGGCCATGACGTATTCATAACATTTGTACCTTATTGAGTTAACATTCACATGAAATTCGAATCGAGTGATTTCGAGTTCTCTACAATACGTTATACTCAAATTATGGGCAGAACGTCATCCTCTTGGTCTAAAAAAACGTTCATCACAATGTTTTATGTCTTAGCTCTCATTCTGAAGGTATTTGTCCGATTTCTCTTCTTTTCTTCAACAAATACTTATAAATACTTATGTTAAACACAAGTAAATATAAGGTCTATCAGGGATCGGAACAGAGCCCTAATTTGATGGCCCGGGTTCGGGTTGGGCTGGTTATAGTTTAAACATGAAATCATCTCATTGTCCTTTTATATTTTATTATCTATTTTCAAGTAAAATTTATTAAAAGTTCAAATTGCAAATATTAACAAAAATATTAGTCTCCAAAATCACCGACAATTCAACCAAAGAATATAATTATCTTAATAATTTCTTTAAGATACATATAAATAAATAATATAGGTTTTCTAAAATTATTACTAGTTAAAACTCATGGATAAAAATGTGACTAACATTACAATAAATATATTTTCATAGTCATTACGGTATACAAATTGAACATATTTATAGTCACTAAAATTTAATAAGTCATTGTTTCATCCACTATTGTAATAAGGGACATTTCCTGAAATAGGACTAAATCAGTTTGAAAATTCCAAAATAGGACTGACATGTTTTTTATTTCCGAAATAGGAGTAATTACTGTCAAGTTTGGAAAATACTGCCATGTTTGAAGTCTGGTACTGCCAAAACATGAGTGTAATTATGCCTATTTCGAGAATAAAAACATGAGAGTCCTATTTTGAAATTTTCAAACATTTTTAGTCCTATTTTGGGTAATATCTCTTGTAATAATCATATGTTAGGAATTATTTATAAATTATCTTTGTATATTGTATTGATTTTATATGAAAGGCAATTGTTTCGGGTTTTTGTAGGTCCGGACAGGGTTATAGATTTTGGGGCCTGTTCATGAGCCTGAATTTTCGGGTTCGGTGTTTTTGGTTGAATTTTTCCCACCCCTAATTAACTTTAGACTTTAAACAATATACTAGCCTACTAGGTATATCAGTGATAATAGTTTTTTTGAGATTTTTTTTGAAATAATAATAAAAGGTAAAAATAATTTGAATTGCTAATATAGAAGTGGTATATATTTCTTCGCTACATAGAAGTAACATGGTTACTACCTCCGTCCCACTAAGTTTGGGACAATTCGGTTTACGATGCTTGACCGATGATAAATCAAACAGATCCATGTCCGCACACAAATTATTTTTAGAAAGAAAAAATTACATATTCAGAAACTACATTAAACGCTTTACAAAGTCGCAAAAAACTACGTTGGTTTTAGTCATCAAGAATCATTTCCTCTACAAGGAATGTGAAATGTAATACTCCCTCCGTTTCACAAACAAAGTCACACTTTCCTTTGTTTGGATGCTTCAAAAACAAAGTCACACTTCCCTTATTTCCTTATTTGGCAAAGAAATCTACATCAAACAGTGTCAAACAGTGTCTAAACAGTGCCAACAGTGTCCAAACAGTGTAAAACAGTGTTCTCTACAGTAAAGTCAATTTATTTCCTTAATCTTAGAGAAGTAGACTTTCTTTGAGAAACGGAGGTAGTATAATGTAAAGGCTTCTTCTCTATGACGATATTTTTAACTATACCATCATCAGGTTTTTTTTACAAGAATATTACTAAAATACAACTTATTTACATAAATATGGCTATTCATTAGTACAACGTAGTATTGTAGTAACTTAAGTTCAAAACTTGAACATGAATTACTATGATTTCATTACTACTTTAGTAATGAGTCATATTTTTGTAAATCATCTTTATTTTGATCATATTTATGTAATTATTTCGTCAAGTTTACCATTTTATGAGTTTGACTTTTTCCTATTTTTGGTCCTCCGACTATTGTGTCATTTATACTTTTGGTATTCGACTTTTGATTTTTCTTTTTTAGTCCTCGACTATTGTGCTAAAGACACTTTTAGTCCTCGACCTAAAAGTTTCCCACATTTAGTCTCCTGAGTATTATCAAATTGACATTTTAGTCATTCCGGTATGATTTTGACACACTAAATGAAGGATTTAAAATATCACTAATATTCAGGGGCGGAGCCAGACTTTCATATAAGGGGGGGCCAAAATATAATATTCGGAGTATGCGTTAAAATATAAATGTGTGTATCAAATATCAAATTAACATATTAACATTAGATGATACGATATACGAATATTTATTTATAATTTTAAAATGTACGATATTAAATAGCAAAAACATTTAAATTTAGAACATGTAATTACATGTTAATTGAGGAATGTTTGAGATTAATTATGTTTCTGCTTCTTTTTCAATAAAAGAAGTAGAGTCGGAATCAATTTTTAGAAGTTGGTCCCCTTCAACTTCTAAAAACTGCTTCTAAGACTATTTAAGAGTCTCGGAAGTACTTCTGCAATTTCATTCAAACACCCGATATTCACTTTTGCTACCTGAAAGATCGGAAGAAGATTTAAGAAATAGATCTAAATACATCCTGAATTAAACACATCCAGAATTGATAACGATTTAACAATTAAATGATCTAAATAGTATTAAAGTCAAAAGAGGGAAGTTGTAAGATTTTATTAAAATCATTTATAGATTGAGAAATGAGAAGGACCGTATGTTTCCTTGTAATTTCCAATCTTCCAGCCTTCCACAAAAAAGCTATTTAGGCTTTAAATTTGTCAATAAAAAAGTAGGGCATGAGGAGAATATAAACAATAGTTTGGACCAAGTCCTTTTAATAAGGACTAATTTGCTGGTCCAAAATTAAGTTGCACACGATAAAGGACAGTTGCATAATAGGAGTACTACGTAATATTTGGAGGGGAGGCAAAAAATATATTATAATACTACTAATTAAAAAACAAAAACATGGGAGGGGCCATGACCCCCTCAGCTATGTGAGTAGCTCCGTCCCTGCTAATATTATAGTTGAAGGTCCAAAATTGTAACTTTTATGAAAGCCGAATGACTAAATATGAAAGTTTTCAAAGACGGGTACTAAAAGTGTCTCTAACACAATCGTCAAGGACTAAAAGTGGAAAAAATCAAAGTCGAGTACCAAAAATGTCAATGACATAATAGTCGGATCACCAAAAGTAATAAAAACTCTCATGAGTTTTAACAACATTTGTACTTGTCAAACTGTCACAAAAATATACTCAGTAGAAGAAAAAAAAGTAATTTGATCACACATACTCCGTATAGAATTGAAGAAATGAAACATTATGATTTATGCATCTCTTATACGGGTGCTGAGAGAGGACAAAGAGCAAAGATTAAACTTAGTTACTCCAAAACACACGCATACACATCTCTATTACGGAGTATATAAAAGCAAAATATCTTCATGAACAAGTGTGCTATCTCAAATGTTTCCTATTGTAAAATGTGCTTTTAAATTAAGGGAGATATGTGCTTTGGGGGAAGGAACTAGGAAGTAATCGAAAATGAAGGGTTGGCCGGTTGCGTGAGAGAATGGTCGGTGGCTCTATGCAATTACCGAGCGATTTTAAGTCAAACTTTTTATAAAAATGCTAGAGATATTCCATTCTTAGGCCACATATTGTGTGGTCCAAATGAGGTCACACTTAAAAATGTTGCCCCACTTAAAAGTATTGTCTCAATTGTGGCCACACAATAGGAGTGTAAGAATGTGGTACCCCAAAATGGGGTACCTTTAGCATTTTTGAACTTTTTAAAGCCTTTCGACAACATTTACTCTCTTCTTTTCTTATAATTTTGTCATCTTTCCTTTTTGGAATGTCCTATATTTTCCCTTTTAAATAAAAAAATTGTGGTTTCAGTTAATTCTCTCTCTTCTGTACAAACATCAATCCCACAGGTTTTACTTTATTAATCATCGTGCCAGTCAAAATGGCAAAGTTATCAGGGACGGAGGGAGTATTGTACTGCAAATAAGTACGGAGTATGAATTACTTAAACATGAAGTATGTATAATAACTCAATTAGGTATGGACTCGGGCCGGGCTTAGGCCCGGCGGGCCTTTGAGTTTTAATGGTACCGGCCCGGGTATCCACCGGGTCCGGGCCGGGCCGGGTCGGGTCGAATGTATTTTTTTTGCTTTCCTAACTACCCCACACCCCCAACCCCCCAACCCCAAACACCTAGCCCAATCCGGTGGAAACCCAAAAATAATGAGAAAAAAAAGAATTGGACCCGAACCAGGCCCGGCCGGCCCGGGTCCCCATTTGCCCTACCTGTGCCCGCCCCCCGCTATCCCACCGGTTCGGGTCACCACCCGGTCCCGGACCGCCAGACCGAGCCGAGTGGCCCGAACCAGGTCCACCACTAAACTCAATTCAAAATAATTATTTCTTATTCAATTTTATCAAGTTTAATTGACACTAGGGGTGGAATAGGTCAGGTCGGCCAAACTTTTTCCTAAACAGGTCGGGTCTGTTTTAGAATTTATAGGCCTGAGCGGGTGAGCCTGGCCAGTTACCTGTTAAAGGCCTATTTTTTCGGCCTGAACCTGGCCTATTTAAAAGCATGGCCTGGCCTGAAGCCTGTTTAGTGGGTCTGTTAAGAAAAAATCAAAAGTTTAAAAAAAATTAAAAATAAAAAGTTCAAAAACCTTTTGACCAGATATAAAATCTACCCCCCATATTCACTACAAAGTCTAAAAATATGTTAGTTTTGCTTTGGATGTCTAATAACATGATAGTTATGTAGCTTATAAATTTTATGAATTTCAAATCTTGAAAAACTTTCCAATTTCAATTACTTTAATAACTTATTAACACATTTCATATATTTGAAATAGTATTCTAATTTATAATGCACACTCTATAAAATACTATTATGCCTAATTTACTACTCCCTCCGTCCCGAATTATAATATACTTTTCGGTTTACGATGTTTGACCGACGATAAAGCAAACGGATCTCTGTCTGCACTCAAATTAATTTTAGAAAAAAAGAATTACATATTCAGAAACTACATTAAAACCGCTACAAAACCTGTAAAAAATAATTCAAATTTCATAAAATTTTGATATATAAAATAAGAGATTAAGAGTGATTTGTGTTGACCAAGTGAATAGTAAAGACATCTTATAAAATGGGACAGAGGGAGTATAATTAAGTATACTAATATAAATATAAATAATACAAATAAATATAAACTCACATGTCCCTCTGTTCCTGACCGGAACGTCGTCCGGTCTCCGCCTTTTGGGGCGGTTCCCGGTGGTGTTTTTGGTGAAATCTTTTGTGAATGTTTCTCATCAAGTCTAGTTTACTCATACCCAATTTAATCTAAAAATTCAATTGGGAAGGCAATCAAATGATTTTTGGAAGATAACTGTGTTTTATATGTATATTTTGGCGTCATAGTTAATAGCCTAATATTAAATTAGGAATCCTTTGTATCTTTGGAAACTTTTATTAGTATAAATATATCTGACAGGTACCCTATTGGGGAACCTTTCCCATTATTTCACATGGTATCAAGAGCCTAATTTTTTTCTCTCTCCTTCCTCCAAACCCTCGATTATTCTTTCTAAGCCATGTCTTCGGCTGCAGGTTCAACCATCAATGCCCTGCACTCATCGGCCGAGTTTACTTCTTCTTCCATGGCAGTCTCCACCACTGCCTCAATTTCCTCGACTACGGCGCCGGCATCCGCTACCTTTACCGACGCGGCCGTAGTCATCACCAGCGCCCCTGTCAACATGCTTGAGCCGCAGCAGGTGATTTCTTCTCAAACGGGATCGGTCGTGCCAACTGCGTCTTCTTCACTGGTTCCTGATGTTCCTGGTGCGTATTCTCTATTCCAGACCATCCTTCCATGTTTCCATGGCAGCCATCCGTCCCACTACAAACTCCAGGCAGTCCATTCTCGACCCCTGTGCCAGCTCCCAGAATACTTCCCCAAATGCCAGCTCCCAGAATACTTCTAGTCCGTCCTCATCAATTCCTTCTCCTGTCCTCTCTGATTCGGCCAGCATTCAAACCCAAGAAACTGTCCCTGACTCATCCCATGTTTCTCCCGTCAATGTCCACCTGATGCAAACTCGGGCAAAATCAGGAATTTTTAAACCAAAATCAGTTTTTAATTTGAAAACGGTTGTTATCTCCGCAGACCCCACTTGTTTTTCTGAGGCAAATAAACAGTTAAAATGGCGTCAGGCTATGGCTGAGGAATTTAATGCACTTATTGCTAACCACACTTGGGAATTAGTACCATTTGATAATTCTAAAAATATTGTTAGATCTAAGTGGATTTATAAAACAAAATATCTTTCTGATGGGTCTATTGAGCGTCACAAGGCAAGATTAGTTGCTCAGGGTTTTAATCAGCAGGCAGGTGTAGATTTTTCTGAGACATTTAGTCCCGTTATTAAACCCACCACTGTTCGTACTGTTCTTACTTTAGCTATTTCTTTTGGGTGGGTTATGCGTCAACTTGATGTTAAAAATGCTTTCCTTCATGGTCATCTTACAGAAGAAGTTTATATGCGTCAGCCGCGGGGTTTTATTCATCCCCAGTATCCTCATCACTTGTGTCGGCTGCGCAAGGCTATTTATGGCCTTAAGCAGGCCCTGCGGGCATGGTTTCATAGGTTCAGTAGTTTTCTGCTTACTCATAATTTTTCATGTAGTAAGTCAGATAACTCTCTTTTCATTTATCGCCAGGGCAATTCCATTATTTATCTACTTTTATATGTGGATGATATCATTATTACTGGCAATTCCTCCTCCACTATCTCTGAGTTTATTCGTCTTATTGCTTGTCACTTTGCCATGAAAGACTTGGGTGATCTTCATTATTTTCTTGGCATTCAGGCCACCCGTAACAGTAAAGGTTTGTTTCTATCTCAACAAAAATATGTATCTGATCTTTTATTCCGGTTCCATTTACACATTGTCAAATCTGTTCGTACTCCCCTTGCATCTCGTACTTCTTTATCTCTCACTAATGGCGAGTTACTCGCAGATGCACTGAGTATCGCAGTATGGTAGGTGCATTACAGTATTTAACCTTGACAAGACCTGATATTACTTATGTTGTGCATTTGGTTTCTCAATTTATGCATGCCCCACGTACCACTCATCTTTGTGTTGTCAAGAGGATTTTTAGATATTTGCAGGGTACCATTGATCATGGTCTATGGCTTCAGCCTACACCTAAGGCGACCTGCATTGTGGCATATTCAGACGCAGATTGGGCCGGCTGTCCCGATACCTCTCGGTCCACCACCGGCTACGCAGTATTTCTTGGGCCCAATCTTGTATCTTGGAAGTCAAAGAAGCAGCCTACTGTTTCCAAATCCTCTACAGAAGCAGAGTATCGAGCCATCGCCTACACGGTGCAGGACACAATACACATTCGGTCCATTCTATTTGAGCTTGGTTTTCCAGTCACAGCACCGGTACGTTTGTTTTGTGACAACATCTCTGCTTCCTACTTGACAGCCAATCTTGTTCAGCATGCTCGGAGTAAGCATATCTAGATAGATTATCACTTTGTTCGTGAACGTGTGGCTCATGGTGATCTTGTTGTTAAATATGTTCCTACCAGTCTTCAGTTAGCGATATATTTACTAAAAGTCTCTCTAGTCAGCAATTTCATTTTTTAAAGGACAACCTGCGCGTTGTATCTCCCGCGCAGTTTGAGGGGGTGTAATAGCCTAATACTCCCTCCGTCCCAATATAAAAGGCACACTTTCCTTTTCGGTCCGTCCCAATATAAAAGGCACATTTCCCTTTTTGGCAAACAAAACAGTGCAAAACAGTGCCAAACAGTGTCCAAACAGTGCTAAACAGTGTCTAAACAGTGTCAAACAGTGTCAAACAGTGTTCAAACAGTGGTCACCCTTAAAATGTCTAGAAACGCAAATGTGCCTTTTATATTGGGACGGAGGGAGTATTAAATTAGGAATCCTTTGTATCTTTGGAAACTTTTATTAGTATAAATATATCTGCCAGGTACCCTATTGGGGAACCTTTCCCATTATTTCACAATTGTGACCCTGTCTCGGAGCGGGCAATGTGTTTTACATGTTCTTCTCACTACAAATATTATCGCTACAGTGATCAACGTCATAGTGACCCTGTCCTGGAGTGGGCAATGCCTCAGTCATGACCATCACGGACTGAAATGGTCACCTCTCGATGACACTTTCAAGAATCGCTAGTGACCCATTTTTCCATTGACCAACTACCCTGATGATTGCCATAGTGACCCATTGCTCAGTGACAGCTACACCGTACCGCTAGTGACCCAACAGCTGCCGCCGAGCTAGTGATGACCTCCGTTGCCACTACGGCAGTGACCCCTCCCAGGACCCTCAACCGTACCCCCTAGCCCACCTCTCGATCCAGGCCCCTCCCCATCCTAGCTACCAAGATAGTTCTGTCTTTTTAAAACGAATTATATGTAGACAATAGACATAAAATAGGCACAGCGTGCAAAAAAATGTTTAAAAAAGAAACATATGTTTCCCTTTTTAAACATGGTATATGTGTACACTTTGGTCAAACTATAAACTCATACTACCTCCGTTTTTAAATAAGTGCAACATTGCAAATTTTACACTATTCACATGTTATACTTTGACTACATTTTATTTAGTGATGTATTAATATATATTTTTTTTAAAAAAATATTATTAAATTTGTCTCATTATATTGTAAATTTTCAAAATCTGATTTTTTTAAATTTTTTTTACTAATAGAGAGTTATATATATTAATGGTCAAAGTCGTGTCTCGACAATTGTGAAATGTTGACTGTTGCACTTATTTAAGAAGATGTGTGAGTAATAGATGTGTGAGGGAATCTCTATCTTTTAGAAAAGCTTTAAATGCCTTTTGAGTTTTGACTGGTCAGCTTACAATCGCATCATCATGTACTTAGGGTTGGTTTGCAACACCTTTTAAAAAAGCACTTCTCAACTTTTGGCTTTAAAAAAGTACTTATTTTCCCAAACACTACAACTTTTATTTTTCTCGGCTTCCGCGCCAAAAGTGCTTTTACTTTTTCTATTACACAAAAAGCACTTATTTTACCAAACACTACCCACTTTTACTTTTCAAAATCACTTTTTTCTCAAACACTATCAACTTTTATTTAATCACTTCTCCACATTTCATTAAAAAAGCACTTTTTTAAAAGCAGAAGCTGTTGCAAACAGACCCTTAATGGGAGGACCAGTGAAGGCAGTGATGCAAACGACATATCTAAACTATATTTGGAAAAACACAAATGCTAAAACTACTCCATTTGTACTCCATTTTGTACCCGCATGTTTGTGGTTCACAAAGGCACTTCATCAAAATGGAGCAATTAATTTATTTGGTTGAATTTTTGTGAGCCACTCGGGTACAAATGGGGTACCCCAAAATGGGGTACCTCTAACATTTCTCTTGGAAAAAAGAGTGTAGATAAATATAAAAGTGACATTTTCATCATCATTATTATTTCTAGTCTTTTATTCGTCCTCTTTAAATAAAATATATAGTTGTGTTATTAACTTATTATGCATTTCTCATTTTAGAAATTTCAAAATTTGCGATTTTTACTTTCTTAATCAACTTGTATAATCAAAGTAGAAAATAATAATGAGACCAATGTTGTACTGACGCATTAATATGCGAAATTCATTTAGAGCCCTGAGCACCAAAGAACATGGTCCAAAAGGTTTATCATCTTGGCTTCAAAAAAGTAAATAAATTTATGATTTATATTAAGAATATGTTAGGTAACTATGAAGGCTGGTCTTGCTGGATGCTGGGTAACTTGGTCGGTTCTACGGTTCCTTTTACGGCCAAAGTTTTGCATCAGTACCTGTATACTTGAATTCATATTGTTTAGAGAAAACGGTCAATTAGACCCTTGCTTGATAAACATCACACTATATTTCAAAAAATCATTTGATTGTTTTCCCGATTTTATTTAGCTGAAATTTGATATGGGTAAAAACTAGACTTAATGAAGAAGATGCTCAAAAATTTTCATCAAAAAAATCCACCGGGAACGCCCCAAATGGCGACGGCCGGACATAACCTCCTATATAAGGGGTGATTTGCACTTTTTTTTGTTAGTTCAATGGCTTATTTGTCCCTTTTCCCTTTAATTATTATCTAAATAACTATGATGTTTTTTCATGAAAACCTTTCAATGGGATGGAGCCATGGAGGTAGGCCTGGACTCGGGCCGGGCGGCCCGGCCCGGTTACTGTTTGAACCGGCCCGGCCCGGGAACCGGTCGGGGGGGGGGGGGGGGGGGGGGTTGGGTCGACCCGGCCCGGTAGTCCAGCGGTTCGGTCTCGGCCCTTCAAATGTCGAACCGGCCCGGCCGGGCCGGGCCCGGTTCGGGCCTAACGGCTCTTTAAAAAAAAATAAATAATTGGGGGGCATCTAGCCGTTGGGAGGCCTCCCAAACGGCTCTATAGCCGTTGGGAGGCCTCCCAAACGGCTCTATAGCCGTTGGAGGGGGTGGGAGGGGGGTCCAGGGGTTTTGGGGGTGGGGGGTGGGGGTGGGGATAAAAAAAACCTATTTATACTCCTAATTTCTATACATTTTTTACACCTCTTCTCCAACTCTTCCTACTCTCTAATTCTCTATTCCCTCATACTCTTAAATCTTAATCATCTCCATCTTCATCTTCTCCAAACCTCTCTACATATATATATTATTATATCTACTTATATATTAATTATCTACTTATATACCTATATTATATTACTAATATTTATTATCTACTTAATATATATTTATTATCTTCTTAATATTTACTTTGATATCTACTTATCATCTATACTTATTGAGTTATTGTTATTTACTTATATATTAAATTATTAATTATCTACTTTACATACATATATTATATTACTTATATTCCTTATCTACTTAATCTCTACCTATTATCTACTTATATATATTAATGTATTATATATAAGTGTATTACTCATCTTATAGTAATATACTTATATATTATATACTATAAACATTATATTATATATTAATTATAAAATAATCTACTTATATACCTATATTATATTACTAATATTTATTATCTACTTAATATATACGTAAATTACTTATTATCTACTTATACATCTCCATCTTCATCTTCTCCAAACCTCTCTCTCTTTCTCTCTCTCTCTCTCTCTCTCTCTCTCTCTCTCTATATATATATATATATATATATATTATTTATATAATTATTATATCTACTTATATATTAATTATCTACTTATATACCTATATTATATTACTAATATTTATTATCTACTTAATATATACTTATTATCTACTTATATATCTCCATCTTTTTAATATTTACTTTGTTATCTATATTTATTGTTATTTACTTATATATATTAAAGTATTATATATAAGTGTATTACTCATCTTATAGTAATATACTTATATATTATATACTATAAACATTATATTATATATTAGTTATAAATTAATCTACTTATATACCTATAGGCTAAAGGGTCAAATAGGTACATGAACTAACCTAAAGTGTTCAATTAGCCCCTTATATAAGAGGTTCTGCCCGACTGTCATCAATTGAGGCGGTTCCCGGTTGAATTTTTTGATGAAATTTTTTGAGCATCTTCTTCATTAAGTCTAGTTTACCCATATCAAATTTCAGCTAAAAATTAAATCGGGAAGACAGTCAAATGATTTTCCAAAATGTACTGTGTTATTTAACTGCGCAGTTATCTTCAAAAAATAATTTGACTGCTTTCCCGGTTGAATTTTTAGTTTAAATTTGGTATGGGTAAACTAGACATAATGAAAAAGATGCTAAAAAATTTTCATCAAAAAATTCCACCGGGAACCGACCCAATTGGCGACGGCCCGGCAGAACCTCCTATATAAGGGGCTAATTGAACACTTTAAGTTAGTTCATGTACCTATTTGACCATTTAGCCTATACCTATATTATATTACTAATATTTATTATCTACTTAATATATACTTATTATCCACTTATACATCTCCATCTTTTTAATATTTACTTTGTTATCTATATTTATTGTTATTTACTTATATATATTAAAGTATTATATATAAGTGTATTACTCATCTTATAGTAATATACTTATATGTTATATACTATAAACATTATATTATATATTAGTTATACAATTATATTAGTTACACTTGAATTCATAGTAATTAAATTCATCGTATTAGTTAATTGTTACATTTTTCATTAAAGTATAAAACTAGTTAATTGTTACATTTTTCATTCAAGTATAAAACTTGTTAATTGTTACATTTTTCATTAAAGTATAAAACTAGTTAATTGTTACATTTTTCATTCAAGTATAAAACTAGTTAATTATTAAATGTTGCATTAAAGTATAAACTAATAAAAGTAGTTAATTTTATTAGTCGCGTTTTATTATTACTATTGTACTCATATTAAAACATTTGATATCATATAATATTTGTTACATTTTAAAGATGGACCGTGTCAGACATTCCGTAGATGTGGGTAGTCTCCAACGCAACCGAAGGAAGGAGATTGCGACAAGTCATCCTAGTTTACGCAAAGGCAAAGGTAAAGGTAAAGGGCGGGCCGGGTCTTCTTCTCAAAGTCGAGAAGATTTTGATGACGGATACCAAAGGCGAGATGGGGATGCGATGTCCGACGAGCAACTACAACAACTATTGGCGCAAAATGATGGTCGCTTTTTCCAACAACAAAACATCCCGGAGTCCATTGATGAAGAGGAGCTCGAGGATGACGATGCGGAGGAGGACGAGGGGGGCGACGGGACTCACGGCACCCCGGATGATGAGCAA